CTTATTTTTTTCTTTCTTTCAAGATCCCTGAAGTCTAATTCTGCAATTCTGCTTCAAGCTCAATTGTAGTCCAACGTCAACTCTGTTCTAATGCATAGTGCTGAAGCCTTAGAACCTGTGGTTGAGAATTAGGCGACTTCTCCCTCAGTGCTAAGCGCAGGCTCCCTGACTCCTCAAAGTCCTACTGGCACGGTATCCCTCCCTTGCTCTCTGCATCCCTATTTTGGTTCCTTTGTTACTGTCTCTTATTTGTAGTACAATGTGTATATTTTTCTGAGTACTTGAGATTGTAAATTTTTTTGAACTCTCTCACTGTAAGCAGATTAAATTCGGCAAAGGGTTGCTGAATTACTCTGTGAAATCCACCTGTTGTGCCTGTGGGAGGAAATCTGGGCAGTAAAATATCTGCTAGGGAAAGCTCTGGTCCAGATATTAGATGTGCCGGTAAAAGAGGAAAATGAACAAAAGGCAATCTGTGACAACACACGGAATTCACGGGAAAGGCTAGAAGTTTTGAAAACAGATTTAGTGACACTGAAGACCAAATCCTGCACATGAATCTGTATAGCTGGCATGTTTGAATTGGCCATAGAAAAGACATGACTTTGAAATGAACAATGGGATCTTCTGTCTTCAGAAAACCGGTCGTGTAATATGTTCAGCCCTAACTGGCAGCAATTCTATTTTTTCTTAAGTCTTCCGGAAATCATCAAAACTATGATAAGCATAACCCTCTATTTAATGATACAGAATAATTAAAATATGATTAATTATGAATAATTAAAATACAACTCCTTTTGCAGGTTGAATATTCAGGTATAGTAAAAATGACTGGAAAGATTAGCAAATATATTCCCAAAAAAGAGAATCCTGTTAATTTGGAGGGACTCCTCCTCACGCTGGGTCAGAACAAAGAAGTATATTAGAATTAATGATTTCAGGGGCACCTGCTTGGCTCAGCGGGTTAAGCGTCCTACTCTTGATTTCGGCTCAGGTCATGATCTCATGGTTCATGGGTTTGGGCTTTGCAGTGTGGAGGCTGCTTGGGATTCTCTCTCTCTCCCTCTCTTTCTGCCCTTCTCCTGCTTGCTCGCTTTCTCTCTCTCTCAAAAAAAAAAAAAAAAAAAAAAAAAAAGAAATAATGATCTCAAAGTATCTTGAACGCCATTTCCTAGTCCTTAATGACAACCAAAAATGTAGTTCTCAGTAATACCTTTGCTTTCAAGGCCAAGTCTTGCAAACCCATAGTAGGGTAGATAAGGTAGCACAGTGTTTAAGGTATTTCAAGTTTGAAATAAATGTGTTAGCATGTATTTTTTAAGCACCTGAAAAGAAACAAAAACTGTATGTTCACTTCTGATTTTATTCTCCCATGAGTTTGAGTATCACCAGTTAAACTAGAAATATAATTCAGAAAAAAAATTTAATATCCATCTTGCAACACACCCCAAAGAGCAGAACTAAAACAGCCAGGGTTCTTCGATGTATTTTCAGAATTACTTTTCCTTAGTAGTGTATTTAAAATGCACGATCATAGTTACGTTTTAGCCATTGGTCTTCTAACCTTGTTCAGAAAACTGTTAAGTCATTGTTATGTTTTTTTAAGAACTTTATAAAGCTAGTAAAATATTTTCTGGCTTTTTAGCCCATAGGGTAAACTATCTTATAGAATGTAAGCTCCTTAGTCACTGCTGTATCCCCAGGGCCTAAGCAGTAGCTAGCACCTGGTTGGCACTCACGAAATATTTCTTGTTGAATGATTAAGATAACCTTTTGTTTCTGTGTCTGTGAAGACCATGGAAACATGAAAGGAATCATTATTCAGATAATATCGTGATTTTTAAAAAAGATAACCTAGTTCAGGGGCGCCTGGATGGCGCAGTGCGTTAAACTTCCGACTTGGGCTCAGGTCTCATGGTTTCTGAGTTTGAGCCCCCAACAGGCTCTGTGCTGACAGCTCAGAGCCTGGAACCTGCTTTGGATTATATGTCTTCTCTTTCTACCCCTCCCCCGCTCCCCCCTCCCCCTCTCCCTGTCTCTCAAAAATAAATAAACATTTAAAAAAAAATTTTTTTTAAGATACCCTAGTTCAAACTGGCTTATCCCTGGAAGCAGTAAATTATTTCTTACCTTTATTCTTAAATTCAGACAAACACTCATTCTAGAGCCAATAAATGCAAAGATCTACTAATAGTACTTTAAAATTTTTTGTCTGCTCTCAGAGAAAAGTAATTATTTTTTATTTTTTTTTTATTTTTTTTTCAACGTTTATTTATTTTTGGGACAGAGAGAGACAGAGCATGAACGGGGGAGGGTCAGAGAGAGAGGGAGACACAGAATCGGAAACAGGCTCCAGGCTCCGAGCCATCAGCCCAGAGCCTGACGCGGGGCTCGAACTCGCGGACCGCGAGATCGTGACCTGGCTGAAGTCGGACGCTTAACCGACTGCGCCACCCAGGCGCCCCGAAAATTAATTATTTTTTAGTGATTATTTTTCTTATTCAACTTTGTATCCTATATCCCACATACCATTTCTATTGCCACATAATGTCATAGTATTCAAGTCTTTTCGTGCAGACTAGTGGCCAATACATTTTGTTGTATAAAATGAAATGAAACTTCATCGTTTGCTTTAAACTGAGCCAAGACTGAAAGAAGTGTGAATCCATAAGTAAAATAACCATTTTCCCAATTATCAAAGCGAGCATTCTTTTGATGTGGGGAAGGGATGAAGGGGTTTAAGAGTGAAGATCGAATCTATTTACTTCAAAGTGCTACATTCTTCGTCGTTTATCACCGCAACAACGCTGGAACGAGAACCAACCATTTCAAAGACAAAACAGCTCAATGTAGTCTCATTTGCTCTACTGGCATCCCTCTCACGAAATGCCGTACGATCGCTGGAATGAGTACCACCGGATAACAACCTATTGTATAAAAGTTGGGCTGATCTGAAATATTAGTGGCTTACACACAGTAATTTATTTTTCTTTACTTTTTATTTAAAGATTTTATTTTTAAGTAATCTCTACACCCAACTTGGGGCTGGAACTCACTGCCTGGATGGAGATCAGGAGTCGCAGGCTCCACGGGCTGAGCCAGCCAGGCGCCCCTAACATACAGTAATTTAAAAATCGCCAATGGCCTGGCCTCTTGACAACATGCCTCCCTTCGCCGAGCACTCCCAGTTTGCACAGCAGTTGAGCGCCCGGGCTCGGAGTCTGTGGAGGAGCATCCCGCGGGATCCAGGGCACCTGCTCAGCCCGCAGAGACCGGGAGCAGGTAGAGTTGAGCCAGCTACACGGTCAGAGACCCCGACAGGACACCCCGCCCACCTGGGGGAAGGAAGCCTGCGAGCTGCACAGGACCGCTGCCTCGGAGGCCCGCCCCGGAGGCACTAGCGGTGGCCATAGAGGCCGGAGCCCCGAGGACAAAGGCGGAGCGCGGCCACGCCCACGGGGCGGGGCCTCTGCCGGAAGCGGCGGGCCTGCGCGCTGGTCCGTCGCCTAGGCAACGGGATCTTCTGCGCGGGGCTTTTCAGAAAACCCAAATCCGGGAGATTAGGGTGGGGAGAGAGGCCGTGGGGGGAGGGGAGAGGCCGAGATGGCAAGGGGAGCGGGTCCCGGACGCCTGCCCCGCCCCGATCTGAGTGGCCTTTCGAATAAGATCGGATCCCAGGGCACAGTCGGGATGGGGTCGGGATCGCCCGCCCTCTGCGGGAGCCCGGCTACGAATGCAACTCCCCTCTTGGGCCCCTTTGTCTCCAAGCCGCTCGGCACTGGGCTCCAGCCGGCGACACAAAGGGAAGGCGGTGAGGACCGCGCAGGCGCGCGAGCCGCTGAGGTTGCTGGGAGCGGTGGTCCGGCCGCCTAATGGTAGGTCTCCTCCCTCCCGGTCCGATGGCTTCCCTGGCCGTGCAAGTACGCATGCGCCACCACTTCCGCCCTGCACGGCGCGCCCCCTCCCTCCGCCCCCCGCGGGACGCGGGTTTCTCGTAGTAAGAGCGTGGGAGGGGTTATCCTCATTCGTCCCGCCTCTCCTTCGGTTTGATTGGGCTATTGAGGGATGGCGGCGAGCGGATTGGGTCTTGGCGTTGCCAGTCTGTTTCGGGCCTTACTTATGCCCGGCTGCACGGCGGGGCCCTGGAGAGTGAGGGGCTGGGTGTGTATAGGGAGGTGGCAACCCAGGCGAGCGATGGCCTCGGCGGCATTGGTTCCACGACTAAGTCGGTTCCGACCGGGTCTTCGGCGAGGCCGGCTGCTCCCCACGTTCCCCGGTGGGCGTGCACTGCCGCCCGACAGGCTCTGCTTCCAAGTGCGAAACTCCTAGTAAAGTTTGCGCTTCGCCCGCCGCCCCTGTTCCCGAGACCCCTTCCCCAGCCAAAGTGACAGACAAAGCCACACCCCCCGCGCGGCAGGGCCGGTGAGGGGCGTGATGCGGCGGGGGCGGGGCCCGCGGGGAGGGGGCCGTGGGGGGCGGGGCGCATGCGCGGTGCGGGGGGGCCGAATGTTTCCCAAGTGTTTGAAACTGGTATTTGGGTTCTCCACGTTGGACAAGTGCGGCGCGGCGGGCGGCGCGCGCCCCTTCCCGCGCT